AGTCAAATCCTACGGTTTGGGCAAGTTTTGCTCACCCTGATTCGGTGTGTCACTCCTCTTCATCTGTTTTCAGAATGTCTGAAAAGACATATGACACGCTGCGTCTGTGGGTGATCCTGCTTCTGTGTGTGCTGAGACTAGCCATGATGCGGCATCATCTCCAGGCCTACCTCAACCTGGCCCAGAAGGGCGTCTTGCAGATGAAGAAGGAAGCAGGGCGCATTAGTACCGTGGACCTTCAAAAGATGGTGCTTATCACTTTTTGTTCTTGTTATGTCTTCTTCTTACTGACATTAAAAATCGCGAGATAGTAAGTAGTCATGTAATAATGCTAATAATATGCAATTAAGTTATTGTGATGGAAAGCCATCCTTTTATTTTGCCCGATATCCCATCTATCCCAAGTATCCCATCTTCACTAGGTTGTTCTTGTGATGTTTGATCTGATACTGGTTAATAAATGCACTCAGGGACCCTCTTGTGGCGTCCACTCTAGGGGCCTACATTACAGTGTCGACATTCCTCAAAGGTGGAAATATATCGGTATGAAAAAGGACTGCGTGGCATTGTTGCCCTCAAAGCTCCAAAATGAGGAGGCTATTTGAGTTTAGTGGAGCGCAAGGATCAAAACCCACAGCACTCCACAGCTGGAGCTGAGGAAAAGAGCCCGTTTGATGTTCCAAGCCATAAGTGAGATTCGCAAATGGCTGTAGAGTCGCAGGGGTGTCTGGTCTTACATCTGCTCCAAATTCATATGCTCGCAGCCTCCCTCTGTACTTAAGCTCCCAGTGAGTCTTCAGCGAGTCTGTTTGATGAGCTCCTCTCCAAGCCAAGCTGCTTGTTTTGAATGAAATTTGCCTAAATGTTTTAACTGCAAATTTGTTTTTCCTCACACAGGTCGCCCGAGTCTTTTACTACTTGTGTGTAATAGCACTCCAGTACGTTGCACCTCTGGTGATGCTGTTACACACTACTTTGCTGCTAAAGACATTAGGTGAGACATTAGGTTCTTCTCAACACATTCTCATTTGCCACGGTGGGGTTTCTTGAATTTTTCATAATCTCGTTTCACCCCCAGGTGGATACTCGTGGGCGATTTACCCCGAAGAGAGTTTGCCGTGTCTATCAAATGAGGACTCGAGCCCCGCTGAGGTGGGGCAAGGCGAGATGCAGGCCTCTCAAACTGTGGCCCAGCTATCGGTCGCTCTCGGGGGATTGAGGACTGTTTTCTCCCCCTTGCTTTTTCGAGGGCTCCTGTCCTTCTTCACATGGTGGACCGCCGCCTGCCTGTTCTCCACCTCTCTCTTCGGCCTCTTCTACCACCAGTATCTGATGGCTGCATAGCATCAGGAAGGGCTTGTTCGACTGAACTGTGCGGCACGACGAGGCCCTGGAACATTCCCCTTTTCCGCAACCATATCAGCCGGGTTCTTCTCTGATGTGCTTCATCCATGGACACATTGTTTTAGCCTAACAAATACAAAAAAATGACAAAAGTAATAATGCAGTCACTGTTATATTCATCGAATGGAGGATGGCATCTGAAGGAGACCTCAAAATAATGCTGATTTTGAAGGGGCTGCAACTTTCTGCCATCTTTGAGCCACCAGAAGGTTGAAAGCAAGGGATCACTCATAGTCTTTGACATTTTATTATTTAGTTGAAAATTATGATAGATGAATTTCATAAGAACAGCGATTTTTTTAATAGTGGTGTTTTTTTTATGTTTTACTCCTCCAAAGTAGAAACTGGGTTCTGCTGTAGGGGAGGTTTTCATTGCTGATACATGAAGAGGAAACAGTGATTTAGTCGAGCTTTGAGAGTATGAGGGGATTGATCTAGAAGAAAAGTATGTATTAAAGGTGTATTTATTTCAGATGGACTGAAGCCAGCCTTCTCACGAGGAGAGTTTTGTTTGACTGTAGGAGACTGAGAGATAATTTAAGTGTGCATGTGCGTGTGAGAGTGGCGGTTCGTGTGTTAACATCAGTGCCTGCAGGCTCCCAGTGACCCCTGCTGCTGGTGGCTAAATCTAAAAAGGGCATTTTGATCATGTATAAAAGCTAACTAAAAAAAAAAGGTCTAAAGCAGTTGCCTCCGCTCTTCTGATACCCTTCCCCGTCATTTAACCAGTCAGATGTTTCACTTTGAATTTCGGGTCCAGTGACATCAAGCACATCCTGTAAGCGTGCTCCATGTTTCTGTATGGAGTCTATTGATTTTCTGTAATGCATCAAATAACAGGATTTCTTTCATGTGAAGGTGCCAAGTACGCTTGTATTCCCCCATGAGTGTGTACAGTACTTCCTGCTGGAAATCAGAAAGCACACATGCAGAGGCAGAACATGTGGCTTGATCACAAAGAAACATGGGGTTTAATGATGTCCACTTTAATATTGTGACATTTTGGCACTACAGTTACGAAACCACACAGAGACATATCTGAAGTATTTTTTAAATACATTTTTAGTTTTTTGTTTGTTAGTCTTTTTTTAGTGTTAACCTACTGTAAAGTCTTACTCTCATCCTCCATTTATGAGTTTTTGGAGGGTACGCAGACAATGAATGTATTAATCCTTCCTGATTTTTGATTGTAGTTATGATGAATTTTATTTTTAAAAATCTACCCTCGTGCCCCTAATAAACAGTCAAATATGACATAATCTTGGCTTTGAACTAATATCAGTTAAATTAAAAATATACATTTTGTATGTTGTGGACTTCCAGGGGCATTTATATTGCAAAGCTGCGTCTGTTATCATCAACAGCACACTTAATATAACATGGCAGTAAAATCCTGAACTCAAATTTTGAGAGCTTTTTGTGTTGTTTTGTTTTCTCCTGTTGTTGATTATCAAGCTGTGAAGATTGATGGATGCAATGGGGGGTTTAATTTAACTGTAAACATTCACAACCTTTGATAATCATAAGCGGGGCCATTTTAGTCTTACCCTCACCTTTACGGTTTTCTCCCCCTTTCCCCCACCATTACAAATCAAAACAATTTGACCAAAATGTATTAAAAATGTTACTAAAAACGTACCCCCCTTTTTAAGATGTTTTCATTAAGCATGTCTTTAAACATTTCTAACCCTAATGCCAAATAACAGTATATCAGGTTTAGAACTGATCCATATTAAATTGAGAAGACAATTCACTTTTTTTCCCCCTCCCTCAGTATTCCAGTATAGGGAGGTAGCTGGGATCTGTTTTAAAAACCCTTGAGCCTAAATGGCTCTGTTGGTCTTTAATGCATTTTAAGTACTTATCTTTATTTATTACTTTTCACTTTGTTTAATAAATGATTGTCAAGAAAACATGACTTAACTTCTTTTTTCTTTTTTTTCTTGATTTTTAGAATTAGCATTAGCTTGTTCTGTCAAGATTTTCACACAATCATTGTCCTCGGTATTTTGTTGTATGCTACACAGTTTTGGGGGGGGTTTCCCCTTAAAATAAAACATAAAAAAAAATCTCAATTACAAAAATTCCAAATATACAATTGAGTCTTGTTAATCGTCTAAAGTCGGAGTTATCGTGAATAAAATGAATGGTGCTCCTTCAAGTGACGCTGAGTTGTTGTCCTGAGTGCTATTGTCGATAGGCCTACTGGCCTCCTCTTTTAGTTGCCGCTCTTGGATCAATGAGACAAATTCCAAAACAAACAGCCGAAGAGGCTCTTTTCTTTTCGTAAGAAGACTCCATTCACACAAACCATTTATGAGGCCCACCAAACAGTGCTTTTGAGGGTCGTCGTTCCCAGTGCCCGAACGATCGAATCTTCTCGAAAGGTATCTTTTTAATGACCGATCCACTGTCTGTGATAAATTAGTTTTTCATTATTGTGTTAGCTCAGTTGAGTGCAGAAAAATAAATAATGAGAACTTGTAATAATGGGTGACCTAACCTTGTTCTTTTTGTCCAGAAATGAATAGTCTGAAAGGAAGGACGCTTGAGAAAGATAACGAACCCTGGGCGCTTTGGTTTTCCACAGAGAGCTGTTTTCAAAGACTACTTGATTTCCCATAATGCAAATACACACTGGAACAGTAAGTTCACATGCGTGAACACGTTAGTTGCAGAACAGACATATTTGTGCATTGCTTTACATGTTTTAAGAAGAGGGACGAGGGGGAGCTACCACATGATATATCATATTTGTTGTTATTTATATAGAGCTGTTTTCAAAGACTGATGGATTTCCCATAATGCAAATACACACTGGAACAGTAAATTCACATGCGTGAACACGTTATTGCAGAACAGACATATTTGTGCATTGCTTTACATGTTTTAAGATTAGGGACGAGGGGATGGGAGCTACCACATGATCTATCAGATGTGTTGTTATTTATATACTGGAGTATTTGAGTTTGGATGGTATTTGTATAGTGCAATCATGCAATTAAATACACAGCATAATGACTTGAACTAAGAAGCGCTCACAAGAGGGCATTTGAACAGAAGTGACTGCCCCCTTGTGAAAGCATCATGTACTGACAGGCTTAACATAAATGAGATCTCTAGAGAGGCTTTATTTTTATTGTATGCCTTGTCATTATTTTTTAGTTTTTGTTTTAATTTATTATATCTCGTTAAAAATCGTTAATTCTGTCTTGAAGGATCAAAAGTGAATGAAAATGGGAGTAGGCCTACAAAGAAGAGCTGCTGGACTGAACAAAACAATCTAAGATTTTTGAACCTTTAAAGATTATATACATTTTTAATTAAAACCTAGAGAGTATGCAATATTGATTTGCCCTACAAATTCTTAAAAGTCAAAGAATAATTTAAGTGTATTTTGTTGTAATATACAATAATAATGAAAACATCAGTCACTTTAATATTGCATTCATAAAAAAGCTTTATCATAAAAAGCAAACATTCTGTTTTATGTACTAAAATAGTACAATAGTAAACATTTTCTATGTCTGTTGATCTATTTGAAGAAAAAAAGATTTTAAAAAAAAATCTCTCACACTACCATTGCTTGCAAAAACAAACAGTATTTTTTACAAAGTTTCGGTCAAGCGACCCGATCTATAATCCTCTTTAGCCCATAGTTGTCCTTGATGTGTCCCTTGTGCCTCTTGTTTGAACTGTGGCTAGTGGTCCGAGGGCAGCAAAGGTCAGCAGCCAGTCAACCGAAGCCCCCGAGGGACACCAGCATTTAGATTCCAGCACACCAGCACTATCGCTGAAGATACTCTATTTATTTTTCTTCTGCTGGAACAGAAACCTAGTAATAAAAAGGAAAAGGTAATTAGCAGAGGATAAGCGAGCATTATTTCTGTTACCAATGCAATGAGTGACTGTAAATAAAAGGAGGTTAATGAGAGCGAAACAATGTGTGAAAAACTGTTACAAACACAGGATATTCTTAGTTGAATGTGTTATCAGTACAATGTAATATGCGGAAAAAGAAAAACTTTACTTTTTTCTTGCTTCGGGAAGTTGCTTCAGACATGAGATTTATCTCCACAATCACAGACTTGACAACTTTCCTGCCCTTCTCATATGCTCAGCTGGTGTTGGTATGTGTGGCCATAGTGATGATCCTATACAGTAGTATTTGTCATTGGGGAATTGTTGCCGGGCAGTGGCTGGAGGCATGTTCCGCCTATAGTATCCCAGAAGGCCATAGGAGCTGACTCCCCATAAGTCACCACTGGAGGTGTGAAACTCATATTGTGTCCTCTGTTTGCTGGCCTGAAAGACAAGAGAAATAAGGGATAGTCTGCAAGTTTGCAATGGACATATTTCAAGTGCGGCAGAGAGGCGATGTGTCTCCATTGTGTAAACGGCCTCTGCTCACTTTGCGAAACCCTGCCCATTTACCAACAGATTACCTCTGTTACCTAGCAACAATTTAATTAAGATTGTATGTGCAAGGTGGGGCTTTCTTTCTAAATGCAGGATTTTTTTTCCCCTAGTCCCAATGAGAATATTAAATAAGGCGTAAATAGTGTGCAGTAGTGATATATAGACACTGCTAAAGCTTGAAAAACAAAGGACAGGCCAGAGGAAAAATCAAATATTATTTATTATGTAATAAAAAAAAAACTATAAAATAAAGCGGTAACACTTTACACTAAGGTCCCATTAATTAACGGTAGTTAATGCATTAATTAACATTAACTGATTAGTACATTTCTTATTTACATTCAAGGACTCTGTGACTTTAAAATGTATCTGTACATCCAAATGATTCAACAAAGCTTTGCCATAGAGGAGGATAAGGGAGTGCCGCTGGAAACGATTTCAGTATGGAAAATAAATAGATTTCATAATTGTAATGTCTTTTATATCAAAATTATAGTGAGTGTCAGTTTCAACAAATCAAACAAGAATATGTTCCGCCATCGGCACCTTCCTGTCCTAAAAAAAGGTGATGAATGAGAATTTTAGATCAAGCTCCAGGAATGACAGAAACTCGTTTTAACCAAATGCTTTAGATACCTCATCATCTGCCGGTGGTGTGCGATTCATTTATTTTTCTGTCAGTTTACAGTTTAGGAAAACAACACAGAGTAGTTTTAGGTGGTTTATAGGACGGCACAAGCAGATGGTACAAGAACTGTGGATAATATCTGTTCTGCAGTACCACTAAACAAATATTTTCATTATTCAGCAACCATATTCATGAAATAGATTGACATATAGTTAGTTTAAACAGTCTGTGTGGACATCAAACCATATAAACTACTCACTCACTCTGATGTGATATGTTTGGCCATTTCGGATACAATACACTTGGCAGAGACGTTTAACAAACCTCAATTTAACAAACCTCAAAAAAAGCTGCACATCCTGATATTGCAGAGTTAGAGGCGTTCCTGGATCAACATAGTTTATTAATATAGTTAGTTAGGACTACATTTTTTTTTTTTTTTTTGTCCTAGCCATATCCCTGCTCCTAAATCTAACCCTACCCATAAGTTATCCCTTAAATCAGAGGGAAATTACAGGTGAATAACAGAAGCACCTAACCCTGGTTGAAAGCCTGGTTCTAAACTTGACATAATCTGTAAACATGTCCCTCAAATCTGATTGGCTGATTAGAATGTTGTTCCAGGATCAACAAAGATGTTGATCCAGGAACATGTTGTAATTGGTGAAATCAGGGTCTGCTATGCAAATTATGCAAATCAAAGTACTCAACAGGGTCTCTGTTAACATAATGATTTTAGGAGTTCTGCCCCAAAATTCGGGCCTTGGCATTAACAATGACCAGGCAAGGAAGCATTTGTGAAGCCGATGTCTGATATGTGATTGTGGATTGGTGGGAAAGGGCACACAGATAGTTGTTGGGATCAGTTCACACTGCTGTGTGTCTGCTTCTCCAGACACACTGCCTATCTTACAATGGTGACAATAATGGCGGCCCATCCTGTCCCGCCACTTCAGACAATAGTCACGGCCCAGGGCCATATGCTGAGCCTCTTGACATGGGTTCGTTTGCAGGATTGTCTGTGGGAAAGCGGGGATGAGGACTACGGCAGACATCGAAGGTCACGGGGTCGAGCTCCTTACAAAACTGTTGAAAAGGGCCGAGGTAATTTTTGGGTGTATGAGTACTGATGTATTTTTTAGTCTTTTTTTCTATGATTGAGATCTTGTTGAGCTGTACCATTATTTAAATCATAAAAATGCATGTTTTGTCCCTGAATAAAATGATATAATATCCCCATAGAAGCGTAGCTGCTGCTAATTACCACCATTACTAGCCATGCTATTTTAAGAAAAATAAATAACCTTCCCCATCATCTTTCAAACAAAAATATGCCATGGCCCAAAATGACTTTCATTATCAAATGCGGTGATTAGCATGCGCGGAATGTAGATTGGATGTACGGCTTTGTTCGCACATATACAATTGCACAAAAGATGGACGGCCTTAGGCTGCTTCTCTTTACCCTTCCCCCACACTTCAGCGTTCCCACCTCCCTTCCTCTCAATGCTACGCAAATAAGCATCTTGCTCCCGGTACCACGTTAATTAGAGTGTAGATAACTAGCTGCACCCTCCATTCACACTTTTATTCTCTTTTATTAGCATGACACTGGTTAGGCCTGCTCTGCAACAATCTCGTTGGCCCCTGATTAAAAAGAGGACCCCTCAGAACACAAATCTCCTGTCCCCTTTTATCCCCGGCCCCATAACATGGCTCTCTGATCCATGCTGGCACTGCTAACTGTCAAGAGTACCTGTTCGCTTCCTTCTCATCACCTCCATCCAACCCCGTTCCAGTTTGTGCCTCTTCAAGTGAGAGTAATTGTTGCTTTCACCTGAAAGCCAAGCCTTACAGATTTAACTTTGACGTACAGGTGTCGCCCAGGACAAAAGCAACAAAAGAAAGCGGGTCAACGTTAGCGTGGAACAAGCCAGCGTCTTTTGTGAGGTCACTTTGTCGCTTGAAAATGTCCTCCTGTCATAATCCACTCTGGTTTGAGAGCATTATTCCTGTCTGGAATGGATCACACCCTCTCTCTCTCTCTCTCTCTCTCTCTCTCTCTCTCTCTCTCTCTCTCTCTCTCTCTCTCTCTCTCTCTCTCGCTGAAGAATCCAGACCCAATTGTGATCCCCTTTGCAAGCTCAGCTCAACAGGGTCTCCTCCTGTCTTGCTCTGATTTCAAGGTAAAACGTCTCATTAGCTCTGGCCCTTGAAAGACGCCTGCTCCATCTCATATTCAGTTATACATTCCCTTTGAATAGCTGTGAGAGGCAAGAAGAGAGAGAGAAAGGAAGGCAGGGGTGAGAGCTGATCCAGCTACCTGAGAGAGAGGGAGGGGAAGGCCTGCTGAGGCCTCTGTAATTTCATGCAATCATTACTGCCTTGTGCCATGGACACATTGGACTGTCATTTATGCCTCACTTGAGGACAAAAGCTCTCTAGAAAAAGGAAAGTAGAAAGTGTCTCCACATTTGTATATTCGCAGTCGCGGTATGCTGGCCAAATAAAAAAGGCCATTTCTTTTAATGGTTAAATTGTTTAAAATAATGCTAAAAGGGATCAAGGAGCACGCTAGGTGCTTTTTCAATATTATATGTTGATTATTTAGCTAATTATGGGGCATTTAGGACAATATTTAAGTGAAGATATATTATTGTTATCATTAGCAGTAGTAATGTTATAGGAATTGCAAGAGGGTATAATTATATTAAGACATTCGTTTCTGTAAACCTTTCAAAAGCCTTTTAAGATTTTTGAAGTTGACGATGTTGACTTCCAAAAACATTTATTTTTAATTAAATTATTAAAATGATTGTGCAAGGTTCAAAAACGTGTTTCTGTAAAATATTTTGGCAGAAATCATGCATCCACATCAAAATCTGTTCAGTCGAGCTGCATGAAATTGTCGCCATCTACCCATCCTCATAACTACTTTTAATGACTTCAGCAGTCTCAAAATTATTCAACCCCTTCATGGCAAGCATCTTTCGTACTTATTTGAACACCAATCCTTGATGGAATTTAAGGTATACTTGGGATCATTGTCTTGTTGGAAGGTCCAATGATGCCCAAGCTTCAGCTTCCTCACTGACAGCATGACGTTTTCTCCAGGGATTTCCTGATTCTTCAATGAATCCATCTTGCCTTCCACACGCTGCAGGTTTCCAGTGCCAGAGGATGCAAAGCAGCCCCAGAGCATCACCGAGCGCCACCATTCTTAACTGTAGGCAGAGTGTTCTTTTCAGTATATGCTTCATTATTCTTCCTCCAGACATACCGCTAATCCATAGGCCGAAAAGTTTAGACCATTCTTTTGATTTAGCCATATTTCTAACATGCAGTCAAACGTGACACTCCACAAACCTAGCCAGTTCAGAGTTCTAGCTCAAGTACACCTGGTGCAACTAATGAAGCCCTTAATTAGTTGCATCAGGTGTACTTGAGACAACACCTGTTTTGCAGATTTGTGCTGTTGTGAGGGATTCTATTCAGGGGTTGAATAATTTTGAGACGGCAGAAGTCATTAAAAGTCACATTTTCAGTTGAATATAAGGAAACCACTTGAAACATTTTTTGTGTTGAGGTATTTCAATTACTTTTGTTTTCGTTCATTGCAAACGATTTCGATTACAAATGTGTGTGTGTGTGTGTGTGTGTGTGTGTGTGTGTGTGTGTATGTATGTATATATATATATATATATATATACATACAGTGGGGAGAACAAGTATTTCCCACTTACAAAGCATGTAGAAGTCTGTAATTTTTATCGTAGGTACTCTTCAACTGTGAGTGACAGAATCTAAAACAAAGATCCAGAAAATCACATTGTATGATTTTTAAGTAATTCATTTGCATTTTATTGCATGACATAAGTATTTGATACATCAGAAAAGCAGACCTTAATATTTGGTACAGAAACCTTTGTTTGCAATTACAGAGACCATACGTTTCCTGTCGTTCTTGAACAGGTTTGCACACACTGCAGCAGGGATTTTGGCCCACTCCTCCATACAGACCTTCTCCAGATCCTTCAGGTTTCGGGGCTGTCGCTGGGCAATACGGACTTTCAGCTCCCTCCAAAGATTTTCTATTGGGTTCAGGTCGAGACTGGCTAGGCCACTCCAGGACCTTGAGATGCTTCTTACGGAGCCACTCCTTATTTGCCCTGGCTGTGTGTTTCGGGTCATTGTCATGCTGGAAGACCCAGCCACGACCCATCTTCAATGCTCTTACTGAGGGAAGGAGGTTGTTGGC